GCAGCAGGCTATAAATCCAATAAATATATGTATGGCTGATACTAAGCATAGGCATTCAGTTCTAACTACAGCAGATGTCAATCAAAGTCAGTAGCTAATTCATGCCTGAATGAAGCAAAGAACTATTACACATGTAAAGCTACGAAATCCTAAGTGACCAGATTTTTGTCACATGGAGGAAATGCTATATGCTTTGATGTGGCCCCAAATTAATATCAATCATGCAGCGTTGGAAAGGGATGGCAAACTTTTTCAATTGCCACAGGCGTATAAATGTGATTACTCCACTTTTTCAACCTAAAAAGAAAATGGCTTAATTGGTTTTACTCATACATCATTCACCTTACAACATTGCAGAAAACACACACAGCTCATAATCCTCGAAGCCCAATTTTAAAAAGGTACTAAAACTTTACTATCACTTTTGGGTATATAAAAAAAACAAACCAACACACTAGGGCAGCCCAGTATGTATATCCTTTCTGTGTTGTGTGACAGCTTTACAAGGCACCTCAGTTTTTTTAAAAAAAATCTGTGTTTCCTTCTAGCTTTTAAATTGTGTTATTTTATTCACGCATCTTTTCTTGCTTGGTTGAGATAGGTAGCCCTACAAACTTGTTAAATAAACCCAACAAATAAATAACATCAGAAAACAGCCTCAAAAAAAAAAAAAAAGTCAGCCATTAATATAATGCTGATACAATACTTAGAAGTTGTGTGACTTTCATTCATGGAAACATAAAAGTCTATTTTGGGAGCATTTTCTAGCATGGGAGAAGGTAAAACTCACACTTTGAAGAGTTTTTGTAAAGAAAACGGGAGGCGTTGCATCTGAATTGGTTATTTTCCTCTTTGGGAAAAACTACCAGCTAGCAGCCTCTCGAAGTAGATTTGTTCTTGATATTGCCACAGCAGCCCTGTATTGATTCGTTGTTCTGCAGAAGGCATGCATGTATTATGAAGGCATTTCCAAATAAAACCCCATTTTCATTTTGCCTTCTAAACTAATCTGTTGGAAGGTATCTGATAGTTTAATTATTTCAGTAAACATCATCATGATACCAGGTAGTCCTTTACTTCGTATTTTTTTTTCTCAGCAAATGCAAATGTACTGGTAATGAAAGCCACACAGTATTAATGATGCTGAAAATCTCTAAGGAAAACATTGGAGGTTCAACTCATAACACAGTGCCAAAATTACATGCGGGAAGACTTTTACTTTCTTTTTAATAACCTTTGTTTCTTAATTTAGCTTTGATTGGCTGTGAAATCCACAGTGGCACTTGAAGGATTGCCATCCTCAGCACTTCTGTTCCTAGAGTCACACAAACATATATGTCCATCTGCAAGTGCCTTCAAGTTCTCCATATGAACAGGTATAAAAGGGATGATGAAACTATTGTAAATTGCCTTGCTGCTCTACTTTATGTTAGCCAAGATTTGTGGGAGCCTGAACAGCACCATTTCTTTTTTATATGTCATTATTTCAGTCTTCTGCTTTTTGTGAATTACAGGTTAACATTGGCAGCTTGCAGATAGTAGCACTTTATTCTTTATCTCTGCCAGCCTCCCAGTCTCTTCTCTACAGTACCTTTCCTTTCGGATAAGTATCTAAGAAAACACCAAAAATGTCCATATATGCAAACAACAAAATTCAATATACAGTAGATATAAAAAAGAGTTCCCCCATCTACATATTTTTTATTTGAAGATCTGGAATTAGTAGGATCCATTATGATCTTAAATTAGCAGAGCTTTGGTTGAGTAGCATATTTGGTTTTATTCCAGTCTTTATCGAATCAATATATTTGTGCTTTCAGAATTTGCCTTATACTTTGCTTTAACCTAGAAGGTTATGTCTAACTAGCCCACTCTTGAACAGCAGGAATTTAGGATTTTTTCTGTTTTCCTGAAAAGCAGATAGAAGTACTAGTTATATCTAGCCATGGGCTAAGAATGATCTCATATAGTGAAATTGCCTGCATGTATCACCCTAGCTTATAAATACATACAAAACTCAGGAGAATTTTGAGCACAAAATTTATCTCCTTAAATAATATAGCTGACTAGACAACACAGTAGGGAATCTTGCTATAGTACTTGCCTTTCCAGGCAATATTTGCTGAATGAATTCCCTAGCCTCTTTGTCACAGGCATAACGAAATATACCAAGATCATAAATGTAGATTACAATTCACACATTTCACAATTTTTAGAGCCACTGCACTCAAAATTTTAATTGGCAACTCAAGACTCAAAGAGATGCCAGTCTCAATACATGTTATATTAATGACCCCAGTCCATTCTTCCTGCTGAGGTGCAACTTGGGAGTAATACAGTTCTGCTTTTTGAAGCCACAGGTACCGAAGACCCTAATGAAGGGTGCAACCTATCAGAAGAATTCCAAGTGTATTTTAAAGAAAATGCAATCTATCATATCTAAATTGTTTAATTTATGTGATTTGGAATACCTTATGTTATTTTAAAAAAATATTGTGAAAGTTCCATGCTTGTCTTTCATTATCGGTAGGAAACTATTCCTAAAAAGTTCAGGTGTCCAAAATTAAACAGATCTCATTCCTTTCTACCAGATCAAATTGTTTGGATAAAGTTTCCTTATATCGAATCAGACTATAATTTTATATAGATCAGTATTATTTGACACTGGCTGATAGCTTTTTAACCTAGAGATCTGCACAGCATTATGTTCTACTTATGAACTAGTATTTCTACAAAAATGCAAATTCCAACAGTTCTCCAGAAAAGCTTATTTCACATTTCATAAGTCTATACCATAATTCAAATATGGTGGGTCACAGATGAGTACAATCCAATAGGCTGTTCTGCTGCCTATTCCAAATGAAATGACTAAGTGCCGTGTCTAGCATTGCTCTTGCGGAAATCTTACTCATCTCAATGAGGCTTCTGACTGAAATGTGCTACTCTGCTCTCAGAATATGACAGCGTATCGGTTGAGTCAAAATTGATGTACAACATGTTATGAGTAATCAATCATTACAGCATTAGCCTATGAAATTCCATTCCCTATTCTGTCCATTTCCTCTGTCTTTGTCCTAAGATTTTGAGGTTTAATATTGAAGTTGTTTACAAAGCATACAAACATAGTCCTTATGTAAATAGTTTATAAAATTAATTATTATCTGCTTCAAGATGACAGATGTTAAATGACCATCTGAATTGCTGGTTGCACATAAATTAGGGAACGCATCTGGATTGCATCTCCATTCATTCTCTTAGCTTCTGAATCTTGAGAGCCCAGTCTCTGTAGCGAGAATAATTTTGCAGATGTCAAGTCATAAATCTCACATGAAAGTGGCTTATTTTATTATTTTATTTTAAATATTTAAAATCACTAGATTACCCTTCCTACCCAGAAAGGAAAATGCCCCAAAAGCCTAAAAATCCTGTTGGGTTCTTCTTATGTCTACCGAGAACTGAAAACTTGTTGAAAGAACATGAATGGGCAGGAGATACAAAAGACTATAGATTAAGTTACTAAACTGTTCCAAAATTAGTAACTTGGAGATGTGAGGCTCACCCCTGCTGCCACTGAATGTTTACCCTTTTTATAACGTCAAAATGAGGTTTTTTCCCCTGTCTAGTTATTTCTGCCCTTCACTTCTTTTCTTCATGGATTTCTCTTTTCTTTCCTTCCCAGTGCAAATTCTTCTTCTCACAAAATCAGCATCCTGAAGTTTTATCCTGCTGGAAGGAGGGAATGGAAATATGTGCGTGAATTTGTATGTTTTTGTGTGCAAGTACGAATTGTTTTGAGTGCGAAAATGGTTCTTCTCTATAGAGGGCCACCTAATTTTAAACACTATTCATTTTAAATAGCGATAGATGGGGACTGTGGGAGAGATTGTCTTAGTCTTGTCCTTTGAATAGCTTCTACAAATTATATAAAGACAAATGCAAAAATGCACGCATACATGTATAAAATGCCACCTGCATACTTTTTATGAGGAAATGAAATCTCCAGGACTGGTTTCAGCTGGAATTGTCAATCTCGGTTTGACAAGATATGAACGCTGGACAGTGCACAGGCTTTTTGACTGAATCTGTCACTTTCCCCCCTATTTATTTTTTCAGAAGGATCACCGGAATTAGACAGCCATCCTCCATTCAGTATGCAATATTCAGCTCATGTCAGAGAAACATATTTCATACTTTGCAGTTAGAAAGAAAATAGCAGGAACACATAATCAAATACTGTATATTTAAGGAAAAAATGGTACATTTTAATCAGCTCTGAAAAACCCAACTGTTATAGCTACAGGTTGCTGGATTATTTTCCTAAGAGCCACGCAAATCCTGCAGAAGCCATTGTCTTAATATAAAATATTACCTGTCACAGTTCAGAAATCCAAAAATCATTCATGGCTTAATCTTTAAAAAGCTGAAAATACCAAAAACTAATTTATCATCCAATTTAACAACAATGCTTTTTGAACCAACTCAAAACTTTAAAAATTATATAGGCCACAACACAAACTAAACAGATTTAAGTTAAATGTAAGTAAAATTAAGTTGATTAATTATATACACTTCATAGGATTATTACAGGGGCAACTAATACTTTTTCTTTCCGACTAATGGAAAGTTAAAATTTTAATAATAAGCTTTGTGGGGGTTCTTATGAATATATGCAGTCATTTGAGGGCTGTCTGTGGTTCTGAGGCCTAAAAAAAAGCAGTAAAAGAGTACCATTGACTCAAGAACCACTTTCCTTCATTCAAGTAAACCTAAATGGACTACTTAACCCTTCAGCTTTAAAAGCTTCTAATGCTTTCTCTCTGCTGGACATTTTTCAGTTCCATGACAAACAATGCTGGCCAGTCCTAAACTAAAGATGTTGGTCTTTATTCTGTTTATTCTTTATTATACAACAGACATTTATTATAAAACAGACATTATTCTGTTTCTCTGAGAGATCTATGCTCTATGCTTAAAGATAAGATTTATACTTTTTGCCTTACCATTCCGCAGAAGGTCTCTGGTGGATTTCCACATGTTATATTAGGTGGCTCCAGGTTTACTTTTACATGTTTCATCATATCTATGGCTTCAGGCTGACAGGCTGTATAATCCCAAATCTTGTCTTCATCCATATAAATCTGGGTCTTGCACACATCATAATGTCCCCAAACTGAAGGATAATGTTGCATTACCGAAGACACAGTAACCCATAGGGCATGGAGAGACAGGAATCTTGACAAATACATCTCTATATCCTTTCGTGTGCCTTGACAGCAATCACCAATATGGAACTAAGTGCAGTCTTTATTATACATAAATATACATGGAGAGAGACAACGTTATTGCAAAATATGTTCCAAAGGAGAAAAGTTACAATAACTGTGTTTTTAATTTTGGAAACTTTGGTGGAAGCCAAGCATATTATACGTCGTTCAAAGCCAAGTGAAGGATGCTTGCTACATTCCCAGGAGTTTCAGGACTTTTAATCACTTATGCAAATAATGTCCAAAACCAGGTAATAATTTAGCAGTGTTGCCAGGCCTCAGCTGTACCGTCAATAATCCCGAGCGATCCTCCTTTTTTCCGGCTCATGAGGAACAGTCAGCCAAACTGATGAATCAGCTGATGGGTCAAAATGATGAGTGTTTACAGTCTGTTTGTCATCAATCATTCTTTTCTTCTGGCACCAGCACCCTTTTAGAAACAATAAAAGAAAGTGTTATGGTTCCAGGATCAATGCAATAGAAAATATTTGAAATGTTGACATTTTGAGGGCCTTGCTCAATAAAAGGTAAATTGGGAGGGAAAAACGGGCTAACCTTTACAAGAGGAACTTTTCTAAAACAAACCAAATGTCTAAATTACTCATCACCAAAATTATTTTGACATGAGAGATTTAACTCTCATTTTCATCTACCTATCTATCTATCTATCTATCTATCTATCTATCTATCATCTATCTATCTATCTATCACATTATTTTCATCTTGTCAAAACCTGAGCCCAGCAACAGCACTCAAACCAGTCGCATATTTCATACCAAATCAGGGATACAATCCCCAGTCTACCAAAGGTGTCAAAGCTTTTATTGCAATGACAAAGGACTGACAACAACTTGCATGCTTTTCATCTTCAATAGAAGACCTCTGAGAGCTCAAAATATCTGTTATATATCTCAGCTTTTGTTAGCTTAATAAGTGATCTGATGAGCCCACTTCTGTCTCTTTGGGTTTTTTTCTCGTTAGTACTGGAAGAGCTCTGCTTTCGTTTAATTGTGTTTAATGACAAAGATAACAGTTGGCTCATTTGCAGCTGATAATAATAATTCCTTATATAGACTGGCTGGTTGTTGTTATTTTAAAGTCCCTTTACGTGTCAATTTCCACAGGAGAAAGCAATCTTCTCAATCTACCCTCTTGTGTTCACTGGAGCGGGACATAAAATGCTCGGTGATAATTTAAGTGATAGAAAAGGCATATCAAAGAAATTCTCACACTGACCTCTGTCAACTTTGCAAGGCATTTAAACACAAGGCATGGCTACTTGACAACCCTCAGGCTCAATCCAACCTCAACACTTTCCTCTCTAACCAGATTTTAATTAAGTTGTGATAAAAGAACTGTCTACAGAAATATCTCTCTCTCTCTCTCTCTCTCCCCTGTATGCAATGCATTTGTGCACATTTGTTTGAGTTACAAACTATGCCACCTAAATTATGACAAACATATTAAAGATCTTAACCATTTGTGAAATAACAGATCACTGGAATATACAGATTTTGGTTATATCAATCTTGAACAAATTCTAACAAAAACATTTGACAAAAGTATTACAGCATCCTGGGTTTTTAACTGTTTTAACTTATTAAAAAGAATGCAATATTTACCAAGTACTATCTTAATAATTATTTAGTAATAAGCCATTTCCATGCAATCACTGAAAAGTAAGTGTGCAGTCATATTATTATATTCCTAACTAACATTTTAAGGAATCACACTAATTTCTTACTAAATTCCTACGCATGGCAGAAAACATCTGGAAGCAGTTGTGCTGTTTCCCCAAAACCAATATTTTTTTCCCTGTTTGGGATCCAATGATCTGATGAGTTAAGAAAATGAGTTATGATATCACATGTATAAAAAGAACACAGCATTTTGGTGACCTGTGCAGCATAATAGCTCGTGTCAAAAATGCCTACTTTCAGGCAGAGAGAATCTGGCATACACAGCGAATCTGTAAAGAGGTTCCTTTTATTCAGATATAACATTATCTTGCATCTGAAACTAGCTATAGTTCTGATGCAATGCCAACAGATGGCTGAATAATGTTTCCATAGCAAATTACAATAATTGCCTTATGGATACATGGAGTTTCCTATTTATTTCACAAACCAGTGTTCTATTAGAAAGTTCAGCTTCTTTTCAGGAATGAGGTATACCACACTCCACTACCTAAGGTAGCAAAGTTAGGATTTTAAAGAGCTCAAAAGTACTTTTTAAAAACCATGTCATTTTCTTCAGCTTCAAAGTATTTCTTTGTTTGCTTTTTACATTTTTTTATCTTACCTACTGATCACCAACTTACATCTGTGATTATCTGATCATTCAGAAACAGGATTTGGTTCATTTCAAATGACTACTTGGACTGAAAGCATGCATTTTAAATTAATATTTATAAATAGAAATAAATAGTTCCTTGTCTTGTACAATATATTAACAAATTGCCAAGGACAGCATCTCATGAATTCCGAAGAAGTTATATATTTCTGTACCATTTCATAGTGGTATTAAGTCCAGTTCCTTCCAATACAGTTTCACTTCCGAGAAGCATATATTTTAACAACCTACAATAAAATAATTGAAGACTCATATCAGGATGCAAATAGATGAAAGCAACAATCAAGATGGCAGAAGATTTGCACTAAAATCCAACACTGGTGCAAATGTTCTAGAGTATACTCTTCGCCCTAGATATTGAATTATTGTTGAAGCAAGTAAAAAGTCATGATTATGGTAATTACACAGAATTATAGAGTATAACATTGATATCATTCAACAAGATGACAAGAGAAAAGTTGAAACCTTTGTGCAGGTGATTCAAGTATCAGAACGTGGCTGGCATGCTTGACAAGAAACAGCCAATTACCACTTAAATTTCTGGCACCTGTCCTGTGTGTGATTAATAGTTTTCCATTACGTTTCAGACATATTATTAATGTATTAAAAATGTCATGGTTTGGCAAGAGCTAACGCAGCATAGTTTAGCAGTCGGCAGTATCTCATTATTAATGAGCTCTCATTGACACAGGAAAAGATATTGGCTTAAAGATCATATGCTAAGGATCATGAGAATTTTTAATAACAGCAGAATGCACCGCATGTTGCATTTGTAGACTTCAATTCACGAGATACAGATCTTCATTAAATAAGAGCACAATGGACTAATCACTTTAATGTAGAAATGAACTTGAATATTTTCACTTCCATCCTACATACATTTCTGTGGAACTGAATTTTATGTCAAGGCCATCCAAATAGTTATGACTGAGAGATGGAGATTTCTACTTGAGCTTTCTTAAGATCAAACTTTCATGTTTGAACATTTAGTGTAATGAAGAAGAATAAAGTAGGATTTTCTTCCAGGTTTTTTCTTCTGTTCGTATCTGATCAGTTCTAACACAAGCGTTAAAAACTGACAGAGGACTATTTTGCTAAATCCCCTCTAGCGTTATAACCTTTGCTTACCATGTGATCAGACAATCTGCTGTATGAAACTAGAGTGATCCCTAGAATCTCGCCTCTCAGATTGAAGAAAAGGTGACTGCAATCTGAGGTGGGGGGGATTATGCTAACGACATTCAATGGAGTTCTGGTATACAGAGACCTAGAGTGTCCTTTATTACTGATAGCTCATCACCCCTACAGAATTTTAACCCTTACCAGTGTTTCTACAACCTAGCTTCTCCTTGGGGGCATTCAGAGGACTGCTGTTTAGTCTCACACAAATCCTTGTTTACATATACCCGCTGACACCCGCTGATACCCCTGAACAATATCCTAGATGCAATTAACTGTGAAAAACAACCAACTTCCCATTCTGATTAGCAACTGCTGACAAATGAAGCATCTTATAGTGATCTGGTCCCTGTAAATAGCATCCCTCTCTCTGTGTTTCTCTCTCACACACAGATCCACACCCACAGACACACAAAGATCATTGTCTCATAATAGAAATTGGCACTAAGAAGCTGATTGGGTAGTTAATCAATAGAACTCCCCGGTGAGGACTGTCTCTCTCTATATACAGATCTGAATTCTAAAAATAAAGTAAAGCCCCAAATAACAGTTTTATATGTATTATTTGGAAATTTACTGTTACTAAATAGGCTTATACTTGAAGCTTTTGTTAACATTATTATCCACGAATCAAATTGATTGTAGCCCTTTCCTTTAGGTGAAATAGTTATTTTAATAAAAGCACACATGCACACATACCATCTGAGGAATCCATACAGCAATTAGTCAATTGTAATTTAAGGATTGTGCTCCATCCTCTGCTCTGTATGAATTCCGAAGACCAACAGTAATAATGCTATAAACACAATCCAAAACATAAATATAGTTCCACGCTGACAGACACTCCTCTTTAAATGCTTATTTATATATATATATATACATACATACATACATACATGTATACATACATTTGTAATACAACATTTCTGCATTTAAAGCCAACTGACTGTTTTTCATAAATGCTAAATTAGTTTGCTGAACAAGTGAATGTAGGGCAATATGAATATGTGCTTTATGCCCTCAGGCTTGAAATAATGTCAAATCCATTCAGGTAAGTGGTGGGGAGGGCTTCCAATTATCTAGTCAGACCAAGTTGTTTTTACAAATTTTACTGATGGAAAATATATCTATCTTCTCCCCAGGAACGTCCATGAGGTATTACACTTCTAACTTGTAGCAAGGGAGAAGAAGAAAGGCAAGGAAGATTTACCATAAAAATAGGACTATGAGTCATACTTATCCCGTGGCAGACAATTCCAACTTTCTCTTGCCTGCAGCATTACAAGGAAAGGAAACCACACAAAAATGTTACCAATTGTGGCACATCACTAATATTCAAAAAAGCAGAACACTTCAAGGCAGTATTGAACAGGGAATGTGGTGTTCCCTATCTCTTTACACATCACCTCTCCTCCTTTAACCACACGTCCTTTTTTTAGAAATGTCAGATTTTCAATAACATAAATGAAATTACCCCTCAAATACAGATGGAAAGAACCTACAATTACAAGTCCACCAGCATTCTTATGTCACGATAGTAAATCAACTATGGTAGGTAACCTGCTGTATTGGATAACTTCCTGTATCATTCTTGGGTGTTTTCCCGCCAAATTTTAAGCAGTTAATGGTATGCAAAGAACTGAGTATCAAAGAGCTGAGAAGTCCCTATTTTGCGAACAAGAAATTCTGCATTTTGGTCTTAAAACAGCATTTCTGGTTATGATTTACTTGTGATCACAGCCATAGAATGAATGTCCATCTATTATCGCAAAGTATGCTGCTGACATATTTTTCATGCAAGACCCAAACTCTTTCAAAATGGTGTCATTTACTGAGCCAACTTTCTAAGGCAGGGAATTTTTAAGTTGTCCTAAAACTCTTCTTCTATTGTGGACATATTTAATCTTTCTTCTTTATTAATATTAAATATTTAATATTTCTCCAATGATACAAATGACACTTAGTTCTTATGGAACTGTAAAAAGCATTTTGAGTCAACTGCATTCAACAAAGTCAAAAGAACAGATTTGCTGCTAATAATATCCACATTTTATTCTGCTTTTGAAAGAAATGTATTTGGAAACAGAAATACCAGCAAAGAAAGGCTAATATAATTCTTAATTGTCAACTACTTGCATTAAGCATCACAAATCTGTTGAATACTCCTTTCCATCATCTGGTGTTTTTGAAGGGCTGGATGCATTTCCTCTTTATCAAATCAGATTGATATTTTAGATCTGAATTAAGGACTGAGATAACACAATCTCCTCCAGTATTTTGCTGCTGTATTTTGTATCCTATTTTTCTTTCCTCTTTCAGGGGAAAAAAAAAGCTGTATTTGCAGACATCAAAACAGGAAAAATATTCAGATTCAGAAGCATGACATACTTCTGTTTAATATCATCTCATGCTACAGGCCATTCTATTCAAAGGCCTTTTGTTCATTCCTTGTTGCCTGTCATATATTCTGTAACTTTTTTTTAGTTTAAAATTGTCATTTTAAAAAAAAGATTGATAAAAGTGAGCTCTCCGTCTTCTTTAAATGCAGCGATTATACAGTTCAGGAATCTATGGACACCAGTGAAGGTTGATGCCTGTAAGCCAATGGATTTATACCTTCATTGCTTGGAAGGAAAAGATGCCTGTTGTGTACCATTCCACATATTTGGGATTTAAAAAGGGGCCAAACGGCTCTTTCTACGAACAAAGGCTTTGAAATCCCCGCTGGCTGATTTTTTTCTTTCCGACTTTTTTGCCTAAGTACCAATCGGAGCGCCTTCCAGTGGAAGACTTCCAAATGAACGCTAGAGGGCGCAGTTTCTATTTGTATCTAAGTTTTATCTCCCTTTTCTCTTCTAAAATCTCTTAATTGGTTATTGCGAAAGGGGGAGGAGGAGGAGAAGATGCAATAAAATCACATTAATTGTGCAATAACTCTGTTTGCAACAGAGCGATCCCTATAACAGGCAAGGAATCTACACAGGGTATCAATTGTGAAGGGAGTCAAAATTCCAAAGGATGGATGGATGGATGGATAAACGAATGAATATACATAGTGTGAATATAATGTATATGCTAACCCAAGCGGGGCGACTCGCTTTCTCTTTTCTCTCTTTGAATTTTTAGCGGACTTCAAAAGCTCCAGCCCTGCATTAAATGCCACCGCCCGATCACCTTATCCATCTTCCAAACCCTCTGGGGCGGGTTGACTTCATCCTGTCCTAGATAGGGATGAGGAAGGGCTCCAGCGGAGTTTCGTTTGTTAGGCAAGTCAAGTTTCCCAGGGCAGCTTCCGAACTCTTCCGATCCCATCCCTGGAATCTGGAAAGAGAGTCAAGTGCGAAGGCCCTTCTCGGAAAGTTTACCGTCCGCCCCTTCTAGAACCGCACGGTTAACTCACCCGGAGGGAGGGCCGAGAGAAAAGCCGGGGGAAAATCAACTGGGTTTACTCACCGTCTCGGGCCGATCGCTGCGTTTTGTCGGAAGCACACGGAACCAAACCACCGGACCCTGGATGGCAGCGCTGGCTTTATCCGGCTTCTTTTCCCTCCAGCAGCGGCGATGTCGCGGTGGGGGAGAAGACTGCGGCTGGTTCGGCCGCCCCTTTTCTTCCTTGCCGCACCCGCTTTAGGCAACAAAAGTTGCAGCCCGCGGCGAAAAGACTTCCGCGGGCGAGTCGCGAAAGCAAAGCCCGAAGCCCAGCTGGAGCCACCCGGCGAGCGGACGAGCCGCGCTTCTTTCGCGCGCCCCCTGGATTTAGCCACTCCTCTGGCGCTGCCCCTTTGGAGATCAGCCCGGTTGGGCCGACGGCGTGGCGGGAGCCCTCCCAGAACGGGGACAAGGCAGGGGATCGGACCAGAGTGAAGACTAGGGCGGCGCAGGAGAGAAGAGGGGGGGGAGGGGTGAGGACCGGGGTGGGAAAGAAGAGGTCTAGGAAGCCTCCTCTAGCCGTCCCGCTCCAGCCCCGCCTTCGCCCTTCCTTGTGCCCGGCTCACTTCTTGGCATCAAACTTTTGACGGGGAGGCGCGGTGCGGTCGCTGGTTGCCTGCCGGCCGCGGCAGCTCCGGGTGGCGCGGCTGGTTCCGCGGCTGCGGCTGCTGCTGAGGCTGAGGGATCCCCCCAGCTTTCATTTTATTTCCGATCGCCGACGGTGAAAGAAACGCGGGAGGCACCCAAATCCCCCGCGGTTAGCCTGGAAGCCGCGGAGTTCTTTCTTTCTTTCTTTCTTTCTTTCTTTTTGGACCGGGCAGGATCGAAAGGGTTTCCCGGGAACGTGGCGGCGCTCCGGTTAGAAAAGTCCATCGGTGGGGGAGGAGGAAAGAGGCATGCACCCCGTCGGCGCCGAGCCTGCCCTTCTTCTGGGTGGCCGGTTCTCCTTATAGACCGCGGCGGCAGGAGCTCCGCCGCGCTCCCTCGCTCTCTCCTTGGCTAAGAGGAGCTCGCAAACTTAAGGACAGGGCGCGATTAATTGGGGAGTGGGAGGGAGGGGAGGGAGAGAGAGAGAAAGAGAGAGAGAGAGAGAATCAAGCGCGGGAGGGGCGGCCCTGCCGTTCCACTTAAAAGCGATCTTCTGCAAACTGCCAGTAGAGTAGAAGAGATTGCAAAGCTTATACTACCTCCGGAGCGGGAGCGCTCCGAGCGGTCCTAAAGCCGAGGGGCTCCTGCGTGAGGTAGCTCCATCCGCGCCCCCTCCCCGCACCCCGCCCCCCCCCCCCCACTCCACTCCTGACGCTCCGTTTAGCCGTCTCCGGTGTCTGCTTGCCCGTTTAGGCGATCGTCTTAGCAACCTGTAGGTTTGACCTCGACTCCTGCAAAGGAAACCTGTCCGAAGGTTCTTGGGTCCCCCAACTTCAAAGTCCCCCTTTTCCTTGGACCTTCTGTAGCCATTAAAAGACCGATTTTAAAAACACCGGTCCAAGTTTTGCGTTCCCTTTATATATATAATATAACATTCAGCCAAAAAACTGAAATCATTTGACACTCTTGTCTTCGAGTTGTATTGTGCAGCCTCCCCCACCCCCGAAAAAAAAAGGAGATTTCTCCATACGAAGGCAAGAAGCGGTGATCTGCAAAGGGATGGCTAGATCACCGCTCTCACGTCTTAAGCCTGTGATGTACCATTCACTACGGATCGTGTCACATGTGCATATTACTTTTCTTAATTCATTTCTGATTGGTTTGAAATCGAATGAGGAGTTTTCCTAGGCAACAGCCTGCTTTATATAGTCTCTGGATTCTTCGCTTTTTCTTTTAATCTAGTGGGATGAATAGCCAGCAAATCATCTGCCACAACGCTATGAAAGTTAAGCATTTTAAAGTCTTAATGATTTTTTTTTTCCTGGGGTGGAAATGTACATACTGTATATTTTCACTGAAATTAAAGGCATGTGAGAATATTGGGCAGCTTGGAATTCGCTGGTTACAGCTTGATCAATTTCGAAAGCAATGAATCTGCAAGGCTCCCCAGTTCACAGACAGGGGATATTTATTTAATAAAATGAATTCTCTGAGATGGTTGGGACTTGTTTTATGAATTTTATATAAACTCTTTATTGTTTCCGTAGCACCACCATCCAGTGAGCAAACCTTGGTATTGATATTAAACTGAACTGTATGTTTCAGATAAGGTGTTTTCAAATCCTACTGATTTTACATATTCATGCTCAGCCTATAATCAAACTCAACAAAGAAGTTTAATTTTGGGTAGAAGCTAATTCATTACTTCTGCTTTTTGTACTTTGACATATGATTTGGTGATGCTCAACACAACTAACGATAATGGAATTATAAACATATTATACTACAATAAACTACAAAATAAACAATCCCATAAAATATAGATTAAATAGGGTAATATATGTAATGATCATTTTTTTTAAAAAAAATCATTACAAACCAATTACAGTCCACAAATAAAATAAAATTTTCCTTTATGGCAGAAGAATATCACAAATACAGGTATCTGAACTTTATTTATTATTTATTTTGGTCTCTTCAACCTGCTTAAATTTATTTATTTTATTTATTTATTATTTTATTTATTATATTTCTATACCGCCTTTCTCCCGTAGGACTTAAGGCGGTGTACAGTCAAGAAAAATATAGATACACAAACATCATAAAATTGCTAATTAAAATTATTATTATAACATAGTTTGACCCAATTAAATAGAACCTAAAATTAGATAACATTTTAAAAACATTCACATGTTCATATGTTTAGCCCCGCCTGTTAGAACATCAGGGTTTTGAGGGCACAGCGGAAAGCACAAGGATCAGGGATATTTCGTATCTCAGGGGGCAGTTCATTCCAAAGGGTTGGAGCCCTCACAGAGAAGGCCCTCCCCCTGGGAGTCGCCAGTCAGCATAATTTGACTGACGGTACTCTGAGTAGTCCCTCCCTATGAGAACGAACTGGTCGGTGGGAGGCTATTGGTGGCAAAAGACGGTCTCGTAGGTACCCAGGTCCTAAGCCATGGAGCGCTTTAAAGGTGATAACTAACACCTTGAATCGCACCCAGAAGACCACCGGGAGCCAGTGCAGCTCGCGTAGGAGAGGTGTTACATGGGCGCAATGAGCTGCGCCCATAATCACCCGTGCGGCTACATTCTGGACCAGTTGCAAATTTAGAACAATTCCTTGGTGATTTATACCTTCAAGCCTTACAGGATTCTTATGCCTCTTGCCTCATTTCCCTGCACACCTCACAATTTGTTCTGAACTTGACGAGGCCACACAATATGGAATTGTCAGTGAACTGGAGCCAGGCTGTGAATCTTAAGAAGCCATTTACCAACATTCACAGCCGAACTACATACGTATTTTTAATAGTGCTTGAGTTTGAATGTCAAGTATTGCGCTAAGTATGTGGAAAAATCAGATGCTCCTGGAAGAGTTGGGGCAGACTTTCTTAACTGTTGGTTGGACTTCATAACCTTTGGTTGGACTCCCATAATTGCCCAGCTGACAAGTTGCTAAGAATGTTAGGTGTCAGTCCTTTTCCCTTGGATGTACTTTCCCAGAGTTAGTGGGACATACAGAAAATTATTCATGTGAGTAAATTGTCATCTAATTTAGGCAAGGAGAAAATCAAGGGTCAAGGACAATTAATCAATAGAACAGCTTGCCTTCAGATGTTGCTGGTGCTTCATCACTGGAGGTTCATCACTGAAGAAGAGACTGGACAGTCACTTGTCTGAAATGGTATAGGATTTCCTGCTTGAGCAGAGGGCTGGACTAGAAAACCTCCAAGGTCTCTTCCAGCTCCGTTCTGATTCGTGCTAGAGGAGGGAGGAAGGAAGTAAGTAAGTTTTAATTTCAGTACAATATGCATATAGTCACTATATTACAACTATTACATATTAGCAAAATTACTGATATCTCACAATAATCCACATGACAGAATGAAATTTCATTTGAACATTTAAAAACACAAATGGAACAACCAAGTTTAGCTTTTCTCTCCTTAATGCTGTTCTCTTCCCAAATTCTTGGAGAGAGGAGGGGGAGATTACATTTTATTTATTTTTATATACTTTTTCAGATTCAGATTCAACCCAAGAAACACAGTGTCGGGAGAACAACAAAAGAATATCATTCCCCTACAACAGCAAATTCTGGTTAAGTGCTTATCACCCTGGAAGTGAAATCACCAGCTAATAAGGTATATGAATACAAATAACAAATTTCTCAATTAAAAAAATGTGTTGTTTTTCACAGAAGCTATACTGATCAAAACAGGTATGCTAACAAGAATGGTGGCAGCTTTTGGGATGCACAAATATCAGGTTTTCTCCATGGTTTATTTAAATCTCAAGACTGTGACTCTGTAATTGAAATTGAAAATAAAAATAAAAATTGGAAGAGACAATTGACCAGTTCAAATTCCAGACAGCATTTTATTTTAAATAACTGATTTCTTCCTGGATTAGGGAGAAAGGTTTATGATGAGAAAAAGGTGCCGGGGGGTGTTTTTTTAAAAAAAATATTACTAGAAGGAATTTTTTCTGATTGTTGATTATATGCCATCAAATTGTTTTTCTTCATGGTGCTCTCTCTCTATCCTGGTCTTTCAGGTCTCTCAACAGTGTGCTTAGTTGCCACTGTAACTGAATCCATCCGCCTTGCTGCTAGTCATTCTCTTCTTCTCTTTCCTAGAGAAAATTTAGAAGATATATTTTCACATCTTCACATTTGTCTAGGTTCTCAATCTCATTGCAGTGGTGAAATCCAATTTTTTTTACTACCGGTTCTGTGGGCGTGGCTTGGTGGGCGTGGTGTGACTTGGTGGGCATGGCAGGGGAAGGATACTGCAAAATCTCCATTCCCACCCCACTCTGGGGCCAGCCAAAGGTGGTATTTGCCGGTTCTCTGAACTACTCAAAATTTCTGCTGCCGGTTCTCCAGAACCTGTCAGAACCTGCTGGATTTCACCCCTGTCTCATTAGTTAAGTCTGCTGGGCTGGAGATATGAATTTTCTTCCATGATGTCTTGAGAAAATAAGAATGTACAGTAGTTATGTATCAACGAATAGTTTTTCTCACCCTTGTTTTTAAAACCATAGAGTAACATGGCAGACTTCCTTTTACTTTTCTTATTATAGATGGCTGTCTTTGACAGCCTTAAAAATTGATACTTCCAAGTTACCAGTTCTGTTAACGCGTTTGGCAATTGTCCATCAGTATGAATTCCTCAGCTTCGTACTCTTAATATATGCCAGGTTTTATATATGGATCCTGCTGTGTTAATCTCAATTTTCTGTCGCAGTGGTAATTTCCATAGTTCTGTAGCACAAATGTTTCTTGGCTGCTTGTTTTGCTGAATTTAGATTATATATTCGATTGCTATTTTATTACCTCCTTGCTTGTCTGACATTCCTGTCTTCACTATGTTTACAGTTTCCATTATAGTATCATGTGCTTTGCATGCCTTACCTGAAACTAAAAATGAACATTTTTTTCTCTGTTTTTCCTAGCCAATAAAAAACTTTCTTTGATATTGGTTGTTCAGACTAAAACTCATATGTACAGCAGACACATACCTATCAATGCCATAATGCTATTCCATTTTGGATAAGTAGTGCTATTCAGACAAGGAGCAAGAAATAGTATACCCAAGAAATCTAAGAAAAAAAAAAACAGAGAAAAAATTCATGGTGACATGATTTTAAGATGAAACTAAAATTAGCTAAATTTAGTTTGCATCAACACCATCTACAGCTACATATCTACATCTCCAAATCTTTCTATACTTGCAAAACATTGTGGCTTCCACCACGTCCATACACAGCTTTATATACTGTCCTTTGTTCTTTAAACTGCTCATCTTTCTCTTTTCAAGGATGTCTTTAATTCTATCCCACCACAGCTTCCTTGTTTCTTCTTCCTAAATTTTTTTCTTTATAAATTTGTTTCATGATTCAATCGTTATTCATTCTGTCTATATGAGTCAACTATTTCAACAGACTTATTTTCTAGTTACTTATTTTCTAATTACATTCTGTGCGTATTGAAGGCAATGTATTCATTTATTCTTGTATTACAGGGGTATCAAACTCAATTTCATTGAGGTCCGCATCAGGGCTATGG